CATTAATGAGTCCCCCTGCAGCATTTATTACGATAACCCTTCACGTCGGAACAGGACAGCCTTACCATGAAAAAGGCAAGCTAGAACATAGACTTTCGGACAACATGATAGCTCGGAGTGGAGAAGAAAATGATGAGCAAATGATATAAGCAGTTCTCTAAGACGAAGAAAAGGTTAAGTTCTCAATGTCTATCCCATCTCTACATTCCATCATTCTCTCTCTTCTCTAACTTGATCGTCGGAGGGTTCACTGGGGGACTCCCCGTTCCTCGTTGAACTCTTGTGCAGGTTTCTCAATAGGATCAAAGATCGAAGAACCATGTAGGAGGCCTGGATCAGCTTGACCCGTTACCAAGGAACGAGTAGTATTATTAGTTGCTATAGAGCGATTAGCTATAAAGGGGTGTTTTGTGGTCTAACTGTAGGCTTTTTCAACAAATTGTGCGGCATGTAAATGTTAATCTGGAAGTCTACCTGCAGATCTGCCTTATGTTCAAGCAATAACTTTCATGGATTTATGAAATAGGCCTTACTGTTAATTCTTTTTTGTAATGTATCCACGTGACAGTGAATGAAAATGGGAGGTATGTCAAAATTAATAGGAAAATCGAAAAAGAAAAAACTGAAATGTCAAAAACGGAGACACGCCCAAATCATCTGTTGACCCTAAAAATGCCCAAACATGAAACATGTACAAGATCGAAAAATTGATTCCAAAAACCACAAATTTGACAAATCATCATAAACGTATGAACAACAACTTGATCTATTTGCAAATGCTTTTGGGATTTGAGGGAGGATATAGCAATCCTAATTTTGTCCCGACCTTTATTGTGTTCCAGATTCGAGTTCCGTGATTGTATATTGTTGTCTATGTCTTGTTTCCTCCCTTTAAGTCTTTGAATTTGAGTTTTGGGACTTGTTGGGCGAGTTTGGAACAGGTTGGTTATTTTTTGGTACAAATGGTTGTTGCCCAGATTTTGGCCTCTTCACTCAAGCGAGGCTTCTTACGCTCGAACGAGCCTTGTGAAAATGTTTCTTCTCTCAAGCAAGACTTCTTGTGCTCGAGCATGCGTTTGCGTTGGTGGCAGACCTGAAGTTTTGCATTCTATGCTCAAGCAACACTTCTTGTGCTTGAGCGAGGCGACCTTTTTGTGTCTGGCCGCTCGAGCGAGAACTCTTTCACTCGAGCGAGCCTGGTGTACATCAGTTCACAGCAGCGCCGTTTTACTTCATTTTTCTGATCCCTTTTCACTCAAAAACCCTAAATCAGCTCATTCTCTCTCTAGGGTTCTACTTCTCTCTACAAATACACCTAGATCTAAGGATCTCTTCACCCTAGGGTCTTTGGAAAAGGGTAGAGGGCTACAAGAGCTTCATTTTGATCCAAGAAGAAATTGGTTTCGTCATCTTTGAAATTCCACCTTGTTGCTTGGGTTTTCTACACTTGTGGTAGGGATTTTCTACACTCTAATATGGTTTTTAGCTTAGTTATTTGCTATTATGTATAGATGATGAGATTCAGTTGTGATTTGGACAAATTTAAGATTTGGGTGTTATATGGAAAATAGGGGTTTTTGATGAATACAAGGTAAATGAGTATGAGGCTTGAATATAAGATCATGTTGTGCCAAAATAGTTGTTTTTGGTGTTTGGGTTGAGATTTGGTAAAAGGGGGATTTTTTTCCCTAATTTGATTAAATCATTATCTTACATAAATAATTGGAATTAACATCGAAAATGTGAAATTGGAAGGTTGTAGTTATAAATGGTGATATTGGATATGTATTATCTCACCTATGGAAGTTTTGAATAAACTATCTATTTTGATATTGAACATCTCATTTGAAATAATTGCATTGGGCTATTGGTGGATGGTAGCTATAATTGTTGTAGAAATTACATGAGGATTAGGCCATTTAATGCTAATCCATTGTTGGTGTCATTGAATATGACCATGTTATAAATACATTGTATATATATGTTTATTGGGAGGAGAAAGGGGATGTACTCCATATGTGATTATGTTTATAAATACATTGCATATGTATATTTGTTTGGAAGGAGAAAGGGGATGGACTCCATTTAAAGCAAGTTGGCCAGAGTGTCCTAGGTGAAAGACCCAAATTTCATATATAAATGGGTGCCGATTCTTTCGGACGAAATATCCGTAAAATGGCAAGTTTGAAGTGTTAATGTGTGTTTTGCATAGTTGGAAAACCATTGAGTTATAGTCTCATTTTGGTTGTTAAAAGATAAAGAATTTAACTTATGAATTGAGTAGCATATATGAACTGGAAATGAATTGAAGGAAAATGGAATGAGGTTAGGTCTTAGTGGCATATGAATATGCAGGCCTTGTGGATGTTTTAGTATCGGTATTGTTTATGAACGTAGTATTTATACATTTACTAAACCTCATATATTGTGTTAGATTATCTCTACTGGATTGTTGGCTCACCCTATACGGGAATACCATTTTCAGGTGCAGGTGAGATGTTTCCTCAAAGGCAATAGCGTGGATGGACTTTCAGGAAGCAAGAGCATCTTAATTATGTCTTGTTGTGTGTATGTTTGTTATTTGTAAAGCCAAGGGCTTAAGATGTAATGAGTGAAACACAATTTGTGTAACGAAGCAATGACTTGGGAAAATGTAAGCTTATATAACATTTAACTGGTTGTTAAACAATAAACTCTGATGTATGAAAGTATGTTGTTTCTCATATTTATTCTGCATATGAGTTATCTTTATTGTATTATTTTAGGGGCGTTACAGATGAGGCTTACATGATTATGCAAATCCACTGACGAAGACAAATTGGAAGAGGGGAGGTTGAGGCATCGTGGATCGCCGAAGGTGGAAACGAGTTTGGTGAGGGTGTTCCACAGCAGTGGCACAATGGTGAGGAGACATGCTGTGAGGGAAGTGGCATGAGATGAGACATGGTGAAGCCCTAGCCCAGAATAACCCTAAAGAACATGGAGGGTATTTTTGTAATTTCACAATCGGCTTTTAACCACATTCCCAAATGAGTTTCTGGCCAAAGAAGCTACCTTCTGGCTTTCTCACAAGTAGAAAAAACGCAGCTTATAATCGTGTTCCCAAATCACATCAAAATTTATTGAATAATTGGATTAACAGAAGTCAAAAAGAAGATCCATGGGTGAAAACATAATTTTGGTAAACGAGCTCAAAATTGCTTTAATCTCACCCTAATGTGCAAAACTCACTTATTTGGTATCATCCTAAGTTTCTGTTTGACAAAATTTCATTGTCTAGGATTCTAAATGTATGCCATTTTTTTCTTTTTTTCTTTGCTTTTTTAAAATTTGGGTATAACTTTATTCAAATGTTTACATTTTTTATGCCATTTGTTTTGGCATGTTTATACTACTTTATATTATCCAACTTTGAATTGAACTTGAATTTTCTGTCTTTGATATTTTTTATCTTATTTTATTTTTAAAAAAAGATAGGCACACACCATTTACATTTCCAAACACACCCATAGTGTAAATGGGTGTAATTGTAGCAAAGTTTTGGGTGTCTTATTAGGAACATGATTGTTTGATTATATGAAGGTTCACTACTACAAATATAGATAAAGATCACACTTTTTTAGTGTGATGTATGTTTGTTAATCACACCTTTTAAGTTTTATTAAAGTGTGGTCTTTAGGAGTGTGATTAAAAATGGTCATTTTTAATCACACTTTTTAAGTGTCATTAAAAAATACTTTCATCACATCTTTTAAGTGTGATTAATAATATTTAGATCACACCTTTTAAGTGTGATTAAAAACATTTAGATCACACCTTTTAAGTGTGGTTAAAAACATTTAGATCACACCTTTTAAGTGTGATTAAAAATATTTAGATCACACCTTTTAAGTGTGATTAAAAACTTTAGATCACACCTTTTAAGTGTGATTAAAGACTTTAGATCACACATTTTAAGTGTGATTAAAAACATTTAGATCACATCTTTTACGTGTGGTTAAAAACATTTAGATCACACCTTTTAAGTGTGATTAAAAACTTTAGTTCACATCTTTTAAGTGTGATTAAAGACTTTAGATCACACTTTTTAAGTGTGATTAAAAATATTTAAATCACACCTTTTAAGTGTGATTAATAACTAATAAAACCTGTGATAAAAAAAATTGACATATTTAAAGAATAATCAATATTATTTTTGCACGCGCATTTGAATAATGTAATACACACTATATACTATATTTCGAATCAAAACCATATATTGAATGAAATAATATCATATATTTCATAAATGAAAGTTAAATGTTTAAAAGTATATACAAAGAAATTAATAAAAAAAAAAATTAACTGTGATTACATACATTTAAAAATAAAAAATAAAAAACATGAAAAAAGTAAGTTCTTGAATTCTTTGACCATATTTTGCATCTCTCCAAGAAATTTCTGACCAGAAAAATAAAAAAACAAATTAATTTAAAAACCGCCAGAAGCATATGAATAAACTTACTAATTAATTTATAAACTTACATTTAGATCACACCAAAAATAATGTAATTTATCCAGTTATTAAACTGCTCCCAATCCTTTCCCCACAGCCACCAAAAATGACATAATTATTTTAATTCTCCACACAAATATCAGTAAAACAACACCACAAAAGAAGACAATATGCAACAATGCAGAAAGGATCACATAAATGATAAAATGGAGTATTATATGGACAATCAAAATCATATGATATCAACATATAACTCACTAAAAATTATAAAACAAATAAGGATCAATAAAGCTTATTGGTCTTAAAAGCATAAACCACATAGCCTGAATAATTACAAATTGGTACACCCATCGATGGAAACATCACCGTGAAAGGTTTTCCTCAAGATCAATAGTACACCCATCAAATTTCCAAATATAACTACATGCTTCAAAAATAATTCTATGTAGACAAGATATTTTAACAGAACTGGTAAAAATGCATACTTCTCTGTTAGTACCAAACTACCTATTCATATGGGTTCAACTCTGACACAAACTGAGATGCACATGAGATCCATAACCAATATCATCTAATGCATACCTAGGGCAAACAAAAAAATGGAGATAACAGTTAAGAGAGATAGCTTGAAGAAGAAAATTCTACAGGTGAGGAAATGAGTGAAGTTTAACCAATAATCAGAATCCTTGTCAAGGATCTTCACCTCTCCCCCAAGATGTTCTAGCCAACACAAAACAGGGAACATATATGGTCTGGTTCCCTTAACAAACCTGAGTTAGATTAAAATTCAATCAAACGGATCGGAAAATACCTATAATTAAAATTCACATCAAAGGATGAAGTAAACAAAAGTCAATTAAAAATTCACATCAAACAAATCGAGAAATACCTATATAATTAAAATTCCACTCAAAAATGATGAAATAAACAAAAGTCAAACAGAATCAGTTAAATTAATTTTATTAATTCAACATTAAAACTATTTTTGGCTACAATCTATATTAAAAACTCAATACTACTTTAAGGATAGAGAAATACCTTGATAGAGAGTGAATTAACCAATCGATGTCTTCAAGTAGCAGAAATCTGCAAAAAAATGAGAAGAAGGAAGATGACGAATCAACCTATAGAAAAACTGCATCCATGACAAATGTGCAGGCCAATAGAACAAAAATATGAACCACTTATTGTGTTTTATTTATATAGATCTACAATATATAATATATATATATAGTATATATGAACATATTTTCAAAATAAAAACAAACAGGGTTCAAACAGAAAGAGTCAGATGCACATATTTTCATTCGAATTTTAGGTTGGTAGATAAGATTAATATATGATGCGTAATTAAGTACATCAAATAATTTTAAAATGAAGTGAACCATAAGAATATGCCTCTGTTTATTAATGGACTAGCGTATGCCTCGTGCTGGAGGCACGGTATTTTTAGATTCTAAAAATAATAATAATAAAATAAAAATAAAAGCCAAAAGCAACCCCAAACAGGAGTTAGCTAAAAGCTAGCTTATTGACTAAAAATAAGCCAACAAAAAAGCTAATGCTTAAAAAAGTTAGTTCGTTTGGAGCATAGAACTTTTTTGGCTTTTTCTTAAGGCTTTTTTTAAGTGGCTAAAGTTCACTTTTTTTTCGTGGAAATCTTTAATCCCCAAACGGCCTAAAGGGTTATAAAGCCAGCTTATAAGATGTACCAAACAAAGCCTAAGAGTCTGGTTACTTGGAGAACTCACAGATCAACTCTTTGGCCATCC